GTGGTGTATGCGCAGTGGCCGAAAGAGGATCGCCAAATCGATGGCATCCACTTGGCTTGCGATGCACAGGCCGGTACGCACTCCTGTATCAAATGCAGCACAGAAAGGAATGTTGGGTTTATAAGCGACAGCTGAGCTGGACGAGCACCACCACGCCAGTCGTGTGAACCTTCGAGCTGACACTCTACTACCGTCTTACCCCGCATATAAGGCATATGTGCTCTAAATAAATACGGGATTCGCTCGACATCTAGCTTAAACCTCAATTTGACCACCTATCTAATTAGAACACATGTGTAAAACACAAGGCTGTACCAGCCAATGAATATTCTTGAGAGCTCCCAACCAAACACCCTTCTGAACAAACTTGTCGGTGCTGCTGTTACTTGGCTTTAATTCTCTTATTTTAAAATTTACACCATATGTGCTGAGCGACGTAGCTATAGTATCCACGAGAAAATCGCTGTTCTAGCAGACTATCGGATAGGCGTGAAAGGTCACGGCTTTGCTGCTCTTAGCAAGAAGCACAGCGTGGCGGTTTGAACCCACGCCGATCGCGTAGGAGGGTCAAGCCTTAACGACCAAGCCATATTCCAGGACCCATAGACTTGCTTCTTCAAAGTCAAACAATTTGTTCGTTGTACAACACATAGGCTTTCTAAACGATTATAACACACACGCAGCGTTGTATTCATTTACAGCACCTATGCCTTATATGCGGGGTAAGACGGTAGTCCACGCCCACCCCACGAATGTAGTGTCAATCCCTCGCCAAAATCAATAACATGCAGACACGCCAAATCATACAACAATCAATCGCAGTTGAAGAGCAGCAGCCAGCTTACCCATTTAAACTCAAGCGAAGTCTTACATGCTGGGCATCAGAGAAGCGCGTTCACCAGAAGAAGCGCTCCAACCGCAAACCGCCTGATGCCCGCGAAGAAAAACAACCACGGAAAATACAAGGAAACGTAGCGGCGGTGATGGGAAATGCCAACTCCAGTGCCGGATGGTGTAAGCACAGCTTCTATGGCAGTAACAGCAGAGCAACCCGCCGAACCCTTTAGTTTACATGGTAGTACGACCGTTGCACTGGCACCCCCGTCCATCATAGTGTCATGCTGAAACGCTTGTTACATTCTCTCTGCTGAAGGGAGTTTGGCTGTCACAGCGGGATTTCGACGATGCAGGGAGCGCATACACCATCGACCTTGTTTCGCTCTTTATTGGATTGTTTTAGGTCCTCTCATTGGATACGCAATTCCAAAAAGCAGACAAATGGGTCGGCGTGGCATCGTAAACCTTAACGTTTTTTAGCATCATCGTCAAAGCCGGCGTGGGGTCGCTTTGCCAGCTCCACACTACTGAATCCGGTTTTGCGGAGAATGATAGCAATTTGGCAGCAATCGACGCCAGCAACGAGCAGTATAATCCATTGGAATCTCAATGTTTGAAGCCGAGAGTATAAAGAACATGCATTTTGACAGCGTTGCACACGTCGTGGAGCCTTCCGATTTATATCATGTCGTTGGGGGATGCAATAGTTTACGCCAGTCCTTTTGCTTTAGCCATGTACCTCATCAAATAGAATGCTGATAGCGACTCACGAGCTGTGACAGCTAGCAGCGCGACTGAACCATTAGTTCTTGACACCGATGGAAGCATATCACTAGCAGCTGTATTGTAAGTGGGTTCGACCAAGGAGCAGAAATAGTAGCAATCGAAAGGAATAATTCTACAAGATCGACAAGCGGGTGGTGCTACGATTTCAGATGAAGCAGGACATGTGAAACAGATCCGGAGAATTAAATCGCTTTTGAATATGTTGAAGAATACGGGTGGAAAAGATGTGGAAATCGGCAGAGACGTGTCACTTGACGATGTTAGTGCTGCATGCAGGACCAAGTTTGGCCGGAGACTGATAATGAATAATCCATATAAAGCCCGGGGGGCCAAATATCACTTACGGATTTACAAGCCTTGATGCGCTTCATCGTGGATAGCTATCAATTTTCGAGTCAATTGCGCCAGTGAATTGTCTCAACGTCTCCAATGCGTAGTTGCAACAGAAGACTTAGCTGTCTTGCAAATAGATTTGGACGAGCTATCAAAAAATCGTATTAAAATTATGGAAGCTGAACGACCTCGTTATGACTCGAATCAGATAATAAACACTGATCGCTACTACATTTCAGTGCAGCTTCTTGCGGCGCTGTGCCTTAAGGGCCTCTACGGTCGATGAACTATTTGCGGGAGCAGTGGAGTTCCTGCATCGTGTCGTCCTAAAATGAAGGAGCAACATCGCGGGCAGTACCGGCCAGTGATTTTGGTCGGACATGGGAGGATTGCAGTGTTGTGGTTTGACAGTGCGGTAGTAAAATTGATCTCAAATGCTGACAAGCCGTCTGAGACCGAGCTTACACGAAGTCTCGGAAATCAGCTGCAGCGGGGTAATGGAAAATCGGATGAATCGCGTTACAGTGCAAGGCCGGGCGGAGGCGCGCATCCAGGTCAAATACGAAAGCCACCTTAGTCACAGAAGGGCAAGAGTTAAAAAATGAAAAA